TTCAATAAGTGTATTGGGAAAACTGGACAGATACATGCAAAATAATAAAATCACACCACTTTCTTACATCATATACAAAAATAAATTCAAAATGGATTAAAGACTTAACTGTAAAATCTGACACCATAAAATTCCTCGAAGAAAACATAAGCAGTAAACTCTCTGAAAATTGCTTTTAGCGATATTTTTAGCATAAGTCACCTCAGCCAAGGGCAACAACAACAAAAAAATGGGACTACATCAAACTAATAATTTTTTGCACAGTGAAGGAAAGCATCAACAAAATGAAAAGAAAACCTACTAAATGGGAGAAAATATTTCAAATGATACATCCAGTAAAGAGTTAATATCCAAAGCATAGAAGAAACTCATACAACTTAACTACCACCACCACCCCACTCTGCAAAAAACCCCCGCAAACAACCCAGTTAAAAATGGGCAGAAGACATGAACAGACATTTATCCAAAGGGGACATATGGCTTACAGACCTATGAAAAGGTGGTCAATATCATTCATCATCAGAGATGCAAATCAAAACCACAATGAGATACCACCTCATACCTGTCAGAGTGGCTATCATCAAAAAATCAACAAATAACAAATGCAGACAAAGATGTGGGAAAAAGGGAACCCTGTATACTTGATGGGACTGTAAATTCATACAGCAACTATGGAAAACAGTATGAAGACTGGTCAAAAAATTAAAAATAGGGCTGCTATACAATCCAGCAATTCTACTTCCAGTATTTACTCAAAGAAAAGACATATGCGCCCTTATCTTCACTGCAGCATTACTTATAAAGCCAAGATATGGAGGGAGGGAACCAAGGTATCCATTATCAATAGATGAATGGATAAAGAAAATGTGGTATATACATAGAATAAAATATTATTCAGCAACAAAAAAAAGAATGAAATTTTGCCATTACAACAACATGGACGGACACAGGCAGTATTATGCTAAGTGAACTAAATCAGACAAAGAAAGGTCATTACCATATGATTTCACTTATATGTGGAATCTGGAAAAACAAAACAGAAATCTACCCATAGATGCAGAGAGCATGATGACAGCTACCAAAAGAAGGGGCGTGAGGAAATGGGGAGAAAAAAATACCACAGCCACTAAAGCTTCCATCCTCTGCCAATGAGAACACATTCCAAATTTAGGCTGCGCTGAGGTGTGCCCTGGTCTGGCTTTCCACAGGGCGCCTTCGCTGCCCCTGCGCGTGCGCTCGCAGCCTCTGGGTGGGTTCCCGCGGCCTGTCCTGCCCGGCAGGGCCTCCACACCTGACCAGCAGGGAGGACAACGGGCCAGAAGGCCAGGGAGCGCCACTGTTCCTGCCCAGGTTCCACTGCTTTTCAAACTTAAACACCTTTCAATCTTTTTATTTCTTTGATCAATTTCCAGAGGACTGAGATGGCTGTTTTTGCCAATTCCGTCTAACTTTATAATTTCCCTTTTTGAGGAAAGAATTTGCCAACTTCCTCATATACCATTCAAATCTGAGAATACTTCCATAGCAAATAATTTTTCCATAAAACTTAGCCAACTGTAACTAAAATATTTAAATAATTTCTTTACATTAATGAGTCTGTACACATAGAAAATCCCACTGTTCACATTTAATCACAACTCCTATTTGTTCTTTTTCCTTTATTTCTATTTTCTCTTTCATTTGTGATTCATTCATTCCATTATTTGTGTGAAAAATATCAATTGATTTCCTATTACATGCCAGTCCACTGCTTTTCTGAGACTTTTTCATCATATCAGCAGCAGCTGCCTCACTCTTATGTTAGCAACCCTCTAATTCAACTACATCCTTCATCACATCACAGGTCTCTATATGTCGTGAACCTTCAACACTGTCTCCTATCAATAATAATAATAATACAAAACACTTATGCTGCCACTTTCTGTGTGCTAGGCATTATTCTAAGGGTTTCGTACAGGTTCATTCATTTAACTCACAATTCTATGAATATCTACTATTATTTTCTCTATTTCAGAGATGAGAAAACAGAGACTCAGGGAAGTCGGAAGCAGCCAAGACAAGATTTGAGTTCAGACACCACGGCTCCAGAATCCACGCTCCGAACCGCACTGCTGCCCGCCTCAGAGCGTGTGATCGGCACACACAGCACTTCACTTTGATATGACCAAGCCCACAAAGGGGTGAAGCATATATTTCAAAAGACTGTGCTCACAGTCTTTTAACTTGAAATTATTGTATCTAGCACTCAAAAATGACTACTGTTTATTAAATCTAACTGCCCCAAGAATTATTATATTATCAGCTGCTAAAATGTGTTAGCAGAAAAGCTATTATGAAACAAACATAAGAGTAGCCTAAACGTATCAAACCCATTTTCAAAATCAGACAATTCATATCTACTGACTGAAATGTGGAAGGTATCAGACACTTTAATATAAATTTAAAATATCAAATATTGGTAAGAATTAACTAGAAGTATAGCATATTTTTTACTATTTCAGGAAACATGTAAGTTTCTTCTTTGTTACAATTCTATCCTATCTAAAACATGACCTCATTATGAAATTCCAGAAGAGGTTCATATTTGCATTTTACTAAAGTCAATTCACTTAGTTCATGGACTCTTCTGTACATCTACAAGTATAAATCTATAGGCAAAAGTATAATTGTTTTACTCTGACCATCTTGCTTATTCTGCCATTTTAAAGGCTGTACCAGGCCTCGCGAGAGAGCACACAAAGATTCCACCACTTAAGAGAATGTGTCAACCAGTGGCAAATCCAAGACAGTCACTGCCAACCTCCTTGTTCCTGTAGAACAGGCAATAAAGCTGAGTGATAAAGACACAGAAATTTGTTTTGAAGGGGTTTTTCTTCATATAATAATCTCTCAACTGACTAAGCAACTGTGTCATAATTAACTAAACGTACACTGTAAAGTACAAACATACATGCTCTGAGGATTTGTAAAATATAAGCAGCTTTTTTAAAAACTGCATTTAAAATGCAACTATGTTTACTTTAGTACCATTCACTTGACTGAGGTGACAGATCCACGGGAACAGGGCCTTAGGAAATCTAGGAAGAAAGCAAGGAGCTGACAGACCAAAGAGGAGAAATCTCCCCAAAGCAGAATAATTATTTCCAAATAAATCATTTTGTGATTTTTTTAAATGACCTCTATAACCTGTGAGGTAGTGGAAGAGGAAAGTAAAGTGACAAATTGCTAATCACGCCAAGAGACCCCTTTTCCCTTTCCTGATGATGTTTCCTCGATATGAGTGGTAGTTTCCTTAGACAGGCCAATGACAGAATGCTGATTTACTACATAAGCTTTAAGTATCTGTATTTGGGGATTTAACATACTGTAAGCCTAGACTCCTCTTTACAACAGAATTTCTAATAAAGACAGGAGCAACACACCTTTATAAATTAATGCAAGGAATTCTATTCTCGATATTATACAGTGTAGGGCAAAAGTAGGTTTACAGTTGTGAGCACAAGAAACAGTTTTATTCTTATATTATTTATTATTTTCCATATGAACAACTGTAAGCCTACTTTTGCCCCATCCTGTATAATAATTACTTCTTTAGGGAAGGGAAACAAACAAACAATAATGGAAGTTGCTAGCCTTCCTTAAATTATTTACCAAAAAAATTCTTTAAATTTACCTTTTTTGTGCTGCAAAAAATAAGATGAAATCAAGTGGGTAGCTATCCTTTCTCCCATTAGAATGAAATGGTTTATATGCTTTCGTATTATTTCTTAATCCTTTTGCAAAGGGCTCAGGGCATTCTCATCCCAGTATTTCCAACCTGATTACATTGCTTTATATTTTCAGAATCTTCGTGAAGTGCAATTCTGATCCTTCCACTATTCTGGACGAAAACTCCAAATCTCAATTTTTTTACTGAATTACGTATTATCACTCTCCCTGGTGCTCATGAGGTAGAACCCCATGACAGAATCCCAACTTCTCTTTTCATATTCATCTACTACTATTACCCATCCCTACATGTATTCCTCCACTCTAGATAAACCAAACTTTTGATTTCCCAAATTGAGTCTTTCAGACTTTATCCTTTGTTGAAGCTGTCCTTTCCACCTAGCTATTCCACATCCAACCCATCATGCCAAAAATCAACCTAAATCTCCGCAAAAATAACACCCGCTACACAAAAATTTTCCTAATACTACCAACTGCATCAACAATAACCCCTCCTTATCTTCACTTGCCAAAGTATTCTTTAAACCTATCTGAAAGCCTTCATCACATCCATCTGTGATACAACTATTTCCATCTTACCTTCATAGCTCACAGCGCCATCCCTTGCCTATATTTGTTGAATGGATCCAAAATCACTCTTCAAGAGGATGCTAGGTATTTCTCTTCTTGATATATTAGCCCGTCTCCCTTTTTTAAAAATTTTGTTTTCCCTGATTTAAAAAAAATTCATGTTTCTTTAAACAAAAACTTTAGTTCTTGATCTTTTTCTTTTTTTTTTAGTTCTTGATCTTTTTCAAATAACCTTTCCCTTTATATTTTTCATAAAAATATATGGATCCCAGGCCTGACAATTATTGCTGATTTGCTGTGAGTCTATCATACCACAACAGTGACAACCTCAGTGCACTCACCAAATTTGCTATTCAAAACTAGAGGAGCATTTTCAATGTAGCAAAGCAATTTCAGAAGCTCGCTAAGTTCTAGGCCTACCCCTGGGAAAAGCAATACTTAAAATCTCATGCCTACACAAATACATGAAATTGACTAAACATTAGCATGGATTTTTTAAAAAATACCAATGAGCTTTACCTGTTCTCCTTGACCTCAACAATACTTAGATAATAGCTGAAACCTAAAGATATACAGTATTAGTTCTGAATTTGTAATTAGTAACAGGTCTTTCTTGCCCAAAACTAATTTCTTTAAGGTTTTGGAGTGGCAGGCTCTACTAATTTGCATGGTTGATAAGACTTGGCCAATAGGTCAATTACCTGTTGAATGAGTGAGCGAGCCTCTTCAGAGACACATTCTGGCATGTTCAAAGTAGTGTGAGTAGTTATTCCTGCTGGATGGCACTCGACCAGCGTCTGAAACAATCAATCAGGTACACTTCTTATCCCAGGAGGTAGGGAGCACAGAGAACTCGACAACAACCTTAACTGAGGGGTAGTAATCAGAAGTGCCACCTAAGCAGTTTAGGACGGGGTCTCAGTCTACAAAACCTCCAATGGAATGAAGGCAATCAGCAAAATCACATCATAGGCTGATGCAACCAGCCCTTTTGCCTTAGTTATAAAGAAAATGGCTCATCAACAGAAGAGCTTACATTACATATCAGAACTAAAAAGGGGGCCCTAGCTGGTATGGCGCAGTGGTTTGGGCATCGCCCTGCAAACTGAAAAAGGTCATGGGTTTATTCCTGGTCGGGGCATGTGCCTGGGTTGGAGGGTTCGACCTCAGGTTGAGGCACCTACAAAAAGCAACCGATCAGTGTTTCTCTCTCACATCGGTGTTTCTCTCTCTCTATATATCTTTCCCTTCCCCTCTCTCTAAAATCAGTAAAGAAAAAGTTAAAAAAAAACAAAACACCAAAAAACTAAAAAGGGACTTTAGATATCACTAAGATTTTTTAATGTATTAAAAACCTTCAAATATTACAATTTGTTGATAATAATACATTACATATGTATAGCACATTATGGTTTAAGTGTGTGTATAGGTGATTTGTAAATTCTACAACTATCTTGGGAATTCAGTCTTATCTACATATTTAAGATAAATGACTACTTACAAAAGTATGACCATTTATTTCCTCTGTTTTCTTCCCAGGAGGCAATTTGTACAGCACTCTATTAGTCTATTAACCGCAAAGGTCTTACTTAAAAGTTATTGATCAGAAAGAGTATAAATGCTGTCCTTAAACTAGCACAGATAGGAAACATTTACAGTAGTGAGAAAAAAGATGTTCCTTTTCATATCTACATTAATTTTCTAAAATGAGAATTCCCTCCTGACTTCAGACAAGATGTTTAAAACACCCAGAGAATTCTAATACATCCTAGCATGAACCTTACAGGACGAACTCTTGTTAAAAGTGAATCATAAAAAATGAAAAGAAACCATGTTTAGTCTTATATCCTACTGTGTACTAACACTGCGACATAACAGAATTTACCATCAATTTATTCAGTGTAATGCAACTCTGTTTTTGTAAAGAAAAACAAAAACAAAAAAAATCTGGAATCTTGAGAAACGTATATATCGCAAAGGTTTTCTTACCTAGACCCTGATCTAAACACTAAAGGCAAAGGCTAAATGTACTCAATTTGAAATCAAGGTAGCATCTGGGTAAAGCTTATTAAGCGTCCAGGTCACTGCTTACCTTGCCAGTGAGAAGTTCAAAGAGGACAGCACCCAAACTCCACCAATCGCAGGCTTCGGTTTCTTCAGTGATTGCTCCAACCTCTAAATACACCAAAAAAGGTTGATATTAAAATTCCAAAGGTCAATTAAACTTTCAAAATTAACATGTATAAGCAAGGTGACCTTTTTAATGCTGAGAGAGCATATACTAAATACTACTGGGCTTTCAAAATTCCTGAAAGTTACTTATCCCTTTGGTCACCTACTGTGGTTGCAATTTTTTTTTTTTTTTTTTTGTGACACAGTCATATATTAAACCGAGACATTTGTTCTTTGGTTGATAGAGGGACACCTTCAAGATGTTATACTTAAAAAAGTTACGTGAATCTACTAGATTAGCATTTTGCTTAATTTTTCAAATTTGAGAAAGTATAGCCAACTCTACCTCAGAGGTCAGGTTTTGTTTTAAAATAAAAACCCTAGGTTCAAAAGAAACTGCAAAAATCGTTTAAACCAGTATTAATTATCCTTGTACAGATTAGAAACCAGAGAGGTGAAATGGCCCTGTCCAATGTCACCTAGTAAATCAGTAGCAGAACTAAGACCTAGTTCACAGTATCATCCCCTCTCCTATAAAATCAATTGATTTCAACTAAGGCGGAAGCAAGTGCAATGCAAATTTACGCATTTTGTTATTGTAAGTACAGAGATATGTTGTTTTAAGTCCCAACTAAAACCATTGGTTACGGTAAGGGATTTTAGAGCATCCACAAATGACAATTTTATCTGTGTTATCCCCATCGCAGCAGCACAAGTTCCTTAGATGTAATATGAGTTTCTGGAGCCCTCTTTCAGGCTTCTCCACAAATCAGCAAAAACTCCTCATTCACCATTTCTGAGGCGTTTAGCACTTAAGTCATCTTTGTCGTATTCTTGTCCTTTCCTAATGACATTCCATTAGTCATTAAGTCTTACTCACTAAGCCTTATCATTTCTTTTTGAATGACAAAACGTACTTATTAGTTGTCTGTGGGTAGCCCACAATTCATAACAATAATGTTCCAGAAGTTTGGAGTAGAAAGAAGATCAATACTAGAAACAATAAAATGGCAATAAATACATACCTATCAACAACTGAATGTAAAAAACTAAGCAAACAAGAACAGAGACAGAATCATAGACACAGAGAGCAGTTTGATGGCTGCCAGATGGAAGCGGGGTGTGGGGGACTACGTAAAGAGGTGAGGGGCTCAAGAAGCACAGATTGGCAGTTACAGAACAGCCACGGGGATGTAAAGTGCAGCACAGGAAATGGAGTAGCCGAAGAACTTACACGCATGAGCCATGGACATAAACAATGGTTTGTGGAATTGCCTGGGGGAGTAGAGGGTGCTGGGTGGAGGGGGGCAAATGGGGAAAATTGGGACAACTGCAACAGCGTAATCAATAAAATATAATTTAAAAAACAAAAATAAATAAATAAATATGCCATAATTATATATACCAAAATAAAGAAGAAGAAGAAGAAGAAAGTAGTCACTGGAAGTGGTGTTCAGGCACCTGCCTTTTAACCAATACGTAGTGAATCTAAGTGTGGGAGAACCACGAAACTGATAAAATAGCTTGAGCTTTCAGTCTTGAAACAAAGGTCATATGGACCAGAGAAAGAAAAAAGAGCCATTTCTGTGCAAGATAGTGAAAGTACCCCATTTCAGCAAATTTCGTCCATATCCCCGCATCCTCGCTCTTCCTCTGGGTTTCCTGACATACATAGATCTACACCCCTTCACACAGGCCCTCCCCAGCCTTCCCGCCCCCGCTGAGCTTCAGGGCAAACCGCCACCTCCATTCTCTGACTAGCTGCTCTCACACCAAGCCTTCTAATCCTCTGAGGTCCGCTGGTTTTTATAAAAAAGTAGCTTGTTTTAAACACTGAGAACTCTAACAACAGAGATTTCCTGATACAGAGTGGCACTCCCTATGGCGGAATACTGCAGCATAATCATTTAAGATGACGTATTCAGGCAAAGTTTAAAGTATCTCAGTCAATACCTGGAGAGATTAAACTTTAAAAAAAAAAGCTCTAAAACAACAGAATTTTAACTTTAAAATTATGTATTTAAAAAAAGGCTGGTGAGACGATATGACAAAATGTGTTATGATTTGTCTCTGCGGTAATAAGATTTTATTTTCATTCTATACTTATTAACCTCCATGAATATCTAAGTGGCACAATTTAAAATGTATGAAAAGATGACATGAAAACATTTAGGCTTGTTGGAGCAGGGAAGGCAAAGCTATAGGTAGGTCCATCCTTCCTGAGCGTCTGCTCACCCACAACCTCACTGGTATTACATACTACAGGAAGCAACAGACCAGGAGGCAGGAGTTCTGGGCGAAGAGCCTTGAGGGATCCACTTGATCTCATCCACAATATGAGGGTTAGATCTGAGATCAGTGATTTCCTAAAATAGAGACTCTCTTCAAGGACAATTCCCCCGTGGTTTCTCACTCAAAGCGCTGGGGGTGGGCCTCCCAGGTTCAAACACACCGCTTCCACCCCCACTCACAACCTCCCCACAGAGAGCCACTGACACCTTCGAAAGTGAGCTCTAAAAACCTTAGAAGGAGTGTATGTTCTCAGGAACTTTACAAAAGTCAAAGAATTTTACCATGTTCCTATCATCAAATACAACTTTTTGCGCATTTCCTTCCAGTTTAAGTAGTCAAAGACATCATATTCCTACTCAAAACTCTGAAATGGCTTCTCATTGACCATTAAATAACATTCAAATGCCTAGCTTACTCAGGCATGCGTACAACCAGGCCCGCGCTATGAGGTCTCCACCCATCAGTCATTCAAGCAGCACACGCAGTGGCACAGCTCGGCCCTGCTCCTCCACAGAACCCTGCGCTCTCGCCACACCGCTGAAGAGTGAAAAACTAGAATCACTTTTCCTGCTGGCATAGTTAACGGTTTTATCTTTTAATATGTTTCTGCTCAAGAATGTAAGCTACTCCATTTTCTTTAACCATACAGCAAGTATTTTCTAGTTTTATAATAAAGGTGATATATGTTCACAAGTCAAGACCCAAAATTACTGGTCTGCCATCTGTTCTGATGAGGCTAACACCAAGGCTCCCTTCCCATGTATGATTTGTTGCTCTGCTCATAGTAGGCACACACTGCATAATGATCATTGCAACGATGAAATAGCAGCAAACATTTATTGACTGCTTACTATATGTAAGGAACTATGTCTAATATTTTACGCACATTATTTAAAACTTCCAAGCAAACTTACAGAGAACTTACTTGGGTAGGGTGACTTTGGAGAAGAAAGAATATAGTAATTGAATGTCCTGGGAAAAGAGGGACATCTGACCAATCAAAACTTGTGAAAAAAAGCTGGTTTTATAGGGTCTCACAACATGCCCTGAGGAGCTCTAAAGCCCTACACCAAGCCTCTGCTCAGAAAGGTTTCCCGTTAGAATAGAGAAGAGGGTCACTGAGATAAGTGTAGGTAAGGCAAACAATTTACAAAGGCTCCTTTTAAATTCAGCCAAAGGTCCAAGTGCCATTACCATCAAAAGCGACATGTTATGCCAGTTCTCCATATCACTGCTGGACATGTTCCCCCAGGAGGTGAGGGAGGAATGTGTGTCACTGTGTGTGTTAGGGGGACGGGGCCCTTGAAACTACCCAATAAGCACAGTACATCTTCCCAAGCATAAAGAATTTTCTATGTGTGGGCGGGGGTGGGATACTGGTTTACTACTATAAGAAACAGGGATCCATTATAGAAGAGAATGTAAAATTTGCATGGATTTGCAAGATGAAAGACTTCAAAGGAACTTCAGGATCATATTTCACTAGTCCCCTGGGGTACCCATTTCCTATCACCTCTGTGATCCTTGGGCACAAAAGTTTGAGAGGCACTTCATGAGACAGACAAGGTGTATTTCTTTATTGGTTTCTGTGAACCTGCTCCACCAGGGAGTCTAAGGACTAGTTTCATTAGTTTTATGCTGCTTTGAAATCCCTGCAATGTTCTGCCAGAGTCCTAAACAGGTAGATAATAATCAATATGCTGCATCAAATGTGAATTGCCAGTGTCTGATGAGTCCCGATCTGAATATTCCCTAATATTTTAATATTATTATAAATTAGCCCCTAAGCTAATTCTTAGATTGAAATTGTAAAGCTGTACCCTGAAATTGCACTGCCAAAAAGGAGAAGCCTGAAGTTGTGTGGCTGTCAAAAGTACTGCTCTGAAACTGCTTTACTTGCAAAACCTACAAAACTTCTAAGCATAAATCAAGAATACTGATTTATACAGGGTCCAGCAGAAGTAAGGCCTGCTTGAGTGTGGCTGGTAGGGTGTAATAATTTATAGTTTTAATTTGAATACTTCACCTGAAATGTCATATCGTGTGCTTGAGTGTGATATTGCTATGTTACAGAATTACGTGCTTATGGTTTTGTAATTTAAAAAAGGGGGCATTATTTGTGCCGGAGTGTGTGTGTGTGTGTGTGTGTGTGTGTGTGTGTAAAGCTATGTGATACCTACTAAAAACACCAGGTGACTAGTCAGGAATATGTGCCTAACTTCAAAAGTAGAAAACTTAAAGAAATACCAAATAAATTTTTCAGGCTATTTTAAGAATAAAACATGGTGAAGCTGAGCAATCCCTTTAAACTCCTACCTTAAATTTTTTTAATCTCTGAAAAAGCAGAAACATGTTTTAAAGGATATATCCTACCACTGTTTTGTCACTTTTCAAACTATTTTTCCTGCAAAAGCCAACGTGTCACGTTTCTGTGCCTGCCCCACCCACCCCCACTATGGTCCGTATCGGCCATTTCCAGGGCGGTAAAATAGCGTCCTTATTCTCCACAAGTGCAGCAGTACCATGGGCTTCAGCACAGTGATGGGGGAGGGGGGATAAACTATTCCCTGAGAAAACAAACAGATTCTCAGATTATTCCCACAAAAACTCAAAAAAAAAAAGATATTCCCTTTCTAAGTCACAGAAAAGTATGGACGGGCGCCTGCCATGCCGCTGCGTGAGCCCGGCTGGGTCTGTCCCCGAGCTTCCCC